ATGCCATTACGGCAGTATCTTATTGTATAAAAGCCAACTTGCTACAATTAAAATTGTTGTTGTTATTACTGAGTGTCGCTGTTACGCTTACCGCTGTTATTGCTGTTTGTCTACGTTGTTTATCTGGCGCTGCGGTGTCGACCTTCCTTGCGGAATCACTTGCAAATCCACAACCGCATATCAATCAAAGTCTCATAAATTTGTCACCGCAAACAAGAAAAATTAAAAAAGAAAACAACGAAGAAGAACAATCGCACAAAAGAGGGCATGGTTGCACAACAACAAAGCAACTATGCAACGCCGACGCAAGCAACGGCAATTTAGCAGCATATACACCTTTACATATGCATACACATACAGGCACATATGTATGTATATATGTATGCGTGTGTAAACAATAACAATGACGTGCACAAATACCCAAACAAACACACGCAAACACAAACACAAACAAATGTGTATTTATTAAATAACAACGCGTTGCAATGCCTTTTGGAAAAAGCCTGGCAATCAGCTGTTTTTGATGAATTTTCGGTATAGTGAAATGCCGCTATTGTGTTTTTACTATGTTGCCGTCGAGTAGTTGTTGTTGTTGTTTGCGCGGCAATTTTCACATGCGACGCTTATATGTTGCAAATAAAAGTGCGCAATGACATGAAAACAACGACGAAAAATTGCAGCATCATCGTCAGCGGCAGCAGCAACAGCAGCAGCCGCGGCCAGCTATACAGTAGCGACAGCAAAATGAATGTGAGGAAAAAAATAACAACGGCTACCGCCACCGCCGCCAAATCAGCGAAGTAATTTTTCATTTTCCTAAACGAAAAATTGAGGAACAACGAACCAGCGAGACAGCCAGCCGGGCCAGCAGTCAGCGGGCCAACAATAAAGCGACGGCAATGCTAGCTGCAACCAACTAACCAACCAGCCAACCGAAAATACAAAACGAAGGCCACAGATGTTGCTGCTGGCGTTGATGCTGCTACCGCTGTTGTTGGTATTACTATTATTATTGTTGTTGTAGTTGTTGTTGTTGTTCTGACAATTTTACCTAAATATTGCCGCCACCGCCACGAAAAGTCGGCAGAGAGAGCGAGAAAGAGCGGACACAGAAAAAGCTTGATGAAAAATTGCCTGGGAATATGTGTTAACCGCTTTTTAAACTGCCACTAGGACTCGACGATGTAGACGGTAGTGTACAACAACAATGGCAATAAGAATAAATAGTAACACTGTTTGACCGAGCGACGGTGAATAACAAAAGTGAAAAAGGACTTTGTCTGTAGGACTTCCATAGAAACATATGTACATACACATATGTATATGCCGTTAATGGCTCTCCTTGTTGCGCGCGTGCTCAACAACTAAAAGTGAGCGCTTCAAAGGGCGCGTAACGAGAAAGGCGCCGAATTTCGGGAAGCCAAATTTGCTGGCATATAAAGCTAAATGGAGTAACTGTGCAAGTTTGGGGGTGATACAATGCATATTTACTCACTTGCTAACGGTTGTGAGTGCATTTATATGAAAAAGGCGATGGGCAGTTAGTTTGGCTGGCGGGCAGGACTAAGAGCGTACGCAACGATATTTGGGCAAAACATGAAAGGAGTGTGAAAATTTGCAACGTGCTAACAGAAAATGATTTATTAGCAACAAATTTGTTAGTAAAATTTGCTGTTGGCCCAAAAGTTAAATGTGTCACATACTGTCGCCGCCGCCGCATGCAATGTTGACAACGTTACATAAAACGCTCAGCATTTTTGCGAAAGTGGCGAACAGCTGTTTTTTGGGCCATGATAGAAGTTTGAAATTAACTGATAACACAAAAAATTAATATAATCAAAATAGAGGAGAGAATATATATAAATTTAAAAATTCGTGTAGATTTTTAAAACATTTTTCAATTGCTTAAAATTAGCGAGTGCTAAGTATTATATAAGCGCTTATATTTAGTGGGTGGGGTTTGACGACTTTGTAGTCCCCTCTCCACGCGTCTTTACGGCAGCGCAAAGAAACAGTTGACTCTTACAAAAAAATATAACTTTCGAAGGCGTTACCTTTTCTTGTCTACACAAGCACACAACAATAACAACAACGGCCAACTAAAGTACATAAAAGCAACGAACAACAACAAACAAACAGCGGCTGTTTTCGTCGAAAGACTAATACGCGCACACAAACACATATAAACTCACACACACACACACCCTTGTATACATGCATATGCACAGCCAGTCGTCAGCCGACAACTGCAAGAGCAACGCTAACGACAACGACGAAGACAGACAGCAACGGCAACAGCCCTCAGTCAGCTAAAGCGACAGCCCCAGCAATTCATAGTGTGGCGCAAGAAAAGCTAGGCGTCTGATTTGCAGAAAGAAAAATGAGAGGAGCTCACAAATCGGCAGCAGCAGCAGCAACAGCAGCAACAAAAGCAACAGCACAAATCCCTCAACATCGAAGGGAAAATTAGTGCAGACCAGTGATCGGGTTTGTAGCGCCTTCTTGTAGAAGTTTGCGAGCGAATGCAAGCGAGCGGACCCCTTTTTTGAGCGCTTTTTGACTGATATGTAGAACTGCAACACATAACAACAACAGCAGTGACGTACATGCAACAACAAGTGCAGTGCAGGGCAAAGCATTGGTAGAAGGAGTGAAATTTGCTATTTTGTTGTTGTTCTTTTGCATTCTACATAATCGCGTTTTACTCGTATTTACACAGTTGAAGAAAAGCTGCACCCCATATTTGTATAAGCCTGCCGTATTTTCTTTAAAGCTCCTCAGATTTGCTGTTATTCTAAAAAATCCAAAGTAAATACAAAAGATATGTTTTCGTCTTCAGTAAAATGTTCCCTAACTTTCATGTTGAGAATTACTTTTTCAGTACCGTTTGCCGGAATCTCCTGCCAAAAGTTTGCCGTAAGACTGCAAGCCGAGTTACTTTTTTATGAATTAACCCATTAAACTCAGTCATTAGCCTGGCTTGACTATATACTTGATCAGAGACTTTTCACAACCTACCTATATTTCCTTTTGATCGTTTCCAGATTATTCTTTTCGGTTTTTGTAAAAGTTAACAAGAAGAAAAATTTAACAAAATGTTATTTTTTTCAATTATTTTCTTAAGATCGGCAAATACAGTATTATATTTGACAATTTTTTTCGTTGCACTTCGGTAAAGACCTATTAGTACTATTTAAGACTTATAATGTTGACTGGAGACGATGATGTGTTTTGTTTTTTAATACTTTTTCTAACTATATTCAAGACACATTTTAAAAATTATTCACAAAAATATTTAAAAAAATTAAAAAGAAATCTTCTCAGTTATGACCACCTTTTGTCTCATATGTAATTATTTTTCTCCGAGTAACCATTTTTTTATTTTATGGAAATAAAACCCAATTGACCTTGAGAATAACAAAAACTAGAGTTTCTTCTCATTCTGGCCCTTTCATTTTTGAGCTGTCAAGCCAAAATTGTTGGTTATGTTAAAATATGTAAGCATTTAGGCTTAGTGATTTGAAAACGAGATTCCATAACGAATTCAAGTTCTAATCATTGAATATCATTTATTCAACTCCATAAAAGTCTATCTGAAATTTGCAGCTACACTTGAGAGTTGCTCTAAGTCACATTACCTCAAAATTTTTAATTATTTCTCTAATTTCAAGGCAATGACTCAATTAATTCGCTATAAAAGTCCTTTAAGTGAGTAATGAAATTTTGAAAAATTGCGCTACTCCATTTATTATTTATGTGCCATTATTTTTTTTAAATAATCCATCACTTTTTCGCCGCTTCAATAATGGCCATAGTGAGTGGCCTTAACTTCGCCACTGAGCGGCGGAGAGGCGCAAATGCACGTAAGAAGCGGAATTTAGCGAGAGCAATAACGAAAACCGCATTACACGGCTGCTGGCTGGCTTGCTGGCTGGCTTGCGGTGAGCGAGTGAGTATTGGTTATATTATTGTTGTTGCTGACATATATAGCTAGTAATGGTGTTGATGAAAATGATGAGTTTAGTGCTTACACCTGAATACAACCAGCACACAAACACATACACACCTATAAAATATATCCGTGTGGAGTGAATAGTAGCAACAACAATAGGAGCAAATGCTACGCGACACGCTCGACTAACAACACTGCAACAATAATAATAAGAGTAGTGTGCAACAACAGTTGTGAGCAAGCGAGCATAGTCAAACCCACCCACCGACCATTCAGCGCAAAGCTCACAGAGCAGCAGCACAACATTGCAACAACAAACAAATCGACAACGATGTTGGCCAAAATACTGAAAACCGAACTGATGCAAACTGCCACTCACTCAAGCGAATATAACAAATGGGATTGGTTTTTGCTGATTTCAAAGAGGGCGCGCGGCGTGTGAAATGTATAGCGTGAATGTTTGAGCACAGTGGGCGGTTTGGGGGGAGGGGGGTGGATTGATTGAAACAGGTAGGCCAAAGAAGAGTGACGCACGGCAAGTAAGAGTCAAAGTTGGCAAAGAGCAATCGGGCAATGCGTGCGCGCCGAGTCAAGCAAATGTGTGGGGGTAGTGAAGGCACATACAAACACACAAGCACACATACATCGGTATTTCATCAACATGATATAAGCCATCTCATTTCAGCTAAAGCCAAATAAATTTCAAATGTTTGCGCGAAATGCGACGATGTCAATGCGTTGTTGAGTGGGGTTGACCGACAAAAGCAACAACAAAGCGGCGATTGAGCTAAGTTGAATTTCTACTCGAAACGGCTCTACAGACAGCGGGCAGCCCAACCTGTGCGCTGTTATCACTCCCGCTCGCTTTTGGGGCGCTGTGCTGACGAGCGCTCCTCTCTGAATGATGGGCGCATGAAAAGTGAAGGCGGCACCAGTGGCAAACTGCAGTCAAGTAGCAACAACAGATGATGAAGAAGAAATGTAGCAAGTATAAGAAATCTATGTAAATATGTATGTATTGAGAAGAGGCAGCAAGATTATGACTCAAATTTTTGAGAGTATGACAAGTAATAGATTGCGAAAAATAAGAGCTTCCACAAACAATTTGAACAGCGCACGTAGAACGTTCCACAAATAAGCGAAAGCTTGTGGGGATGCGCATCATACAAAGGCAACAACAATTAAGTGAGGTGGTGTGTGACAAGTGAGCGCCAATATCGTATATTTTGCTTTTGCTTTACCTTTTCACTTGTGGGCATGTCACAAGAGGCGTACTAACAAATCAGTCATTCCTACTTTTATGAGCGCTTCGCCGCCGCAGCGAACTCACATGAAAACAAATAAAAGCGTGTGGCTTGCGCTCTTTTAACACCAAAGCAGATTATGAGTAGTATAGATAGTTAGATAAATTCGCCGTATGCTTTCAAGTTCGGCGAATTCGCTGTAGATTACAATTTACGCTCTTCACTTTGCCGTTTCGAGCATTTGTATGTTTGTGCGCTTTGCTTGATTACCCCACGCGCTCTTCGCCGCATTTTGCTTTACGAGCGCACGCTCCCAATCACTCTCTTCGCTGCTGCACACGAGCGCACTTCATTTTCAATCATTCAATTCCTCTCCACCGCTGCTATTTCCACTGATACGACGTCTGTTTACCTTCCAAAGCGCCCGCTACATAGTTGCTACTCTTTTTCTTCTTCTTCTTCGTAGCTTCTTAAACAACTACCACCGCCGCGCATGCCATCGCATTCATACACGCGCGCTCTACGCCGCGTGCGCGCTCTTTCGCACATTTTTAATGGCACAATTGTTGCTCTACTCGCAATGCGCCTGCTTGCACTTGAAACGCGCTATCCGTTAACAGCGCTACGGCCGTTCTTTCTTTCCTACACTGTCGAGTCATCCATCTAGCCATCCATCCATCTGCTGCGTACGCTTGGCTGGTTGAGTTCAGGCTTTTGTTGTTGTTCGTGTGCTATAGTGCCGTCGTGCTGTGGTGCGCTTGACTCGTACACATTTCGCAAGCTATATACTACACGCATAGTGTTGTAGTTATTGCTGCACTGCTGCTTGCTAACCGCTGCCGCTAGCTTGATATACTTCATAGCACTGAGTGCGAGCGCGCTCTGTGCTCGGTGTTAGGGTTTGTAGCTGTGTGTGCGCGAATGTGTATGTGTGTTTATCTGCCTATCGGAGTGTCGTCGGCAGCGGCTATTATTTACCCCCGCCAAGTGTAGTTGCCGTTGTGATTGACAAGCCCAGTGTGTGTTTGCCTTCGAAACGCGTACAACGTGTGCAGTGTAGAAAGCGAAATATAATAAGCGTAAATTTCCAATTCATTTTGTGTCCAAACAAAAAATCGCAACAATAACAATACGAAAATTCTACTTTACAATTGCACAGTCTACAACGGTAACGTGTAACGCGATTTAACGGTAAATAAATAAATAATTTTGAAAATAATAAATAACGCGGTAAAAATCTATTAATTTTGTTCAACTTTAAAAACATAACGGAATATATTTATTTGAAGAAGAAAAACAAAAACTATTTTTGCAAAATATTTTGCATATTTTCGCTACAACTCTCCAAATTAAATAATTTACAAGTGTGTAGCTGTTGCGCGCGCCTTCAAGTGCATAGAACGCCGCAAATTAAACGCTGCTGCATTGCCGTCGCTAGTGGAGCGTCTAGCATGCATTAGCAGGACTTTTGCGAGTTGACAGGATTTCGACGCAGCGGGCGCTCATAAGACGCACGGCTGGACGGCACATAGTGCAACGGCAGGCAGACGGGCAGCGTTGTTAGCCATTTCGTCAGCCGCAGTCAGTTGGTCGGCGGCGTGTAGGTGCGTTCTAAGAAGTGCGCGTTGTGCTGCAGTTTGTGTGTGTTTTCTACTACAGTCGATTTTCGTGAGTGCAGCAGCAGGTCGCGCCGAGTTAAATAGGCAAGCAGCCAGTCGAGAGCAGATAACTTAGCCGCAGAAAACAAATCATTTGCTAGTTGCTGCTGCCACTCTACGCGCGAATGGAATACAAAACGCAAATAAAATCATAAACAAAATTAATTCGAATTTGAAAGCATTTCGCGCAAAATAAATAAGAAAACTGAAATTATGAGCGAAAGTACATTACAAATACAATAAGCCTAAGCGTGTACTACAATAAAAAAAAAAAAAATAATAATAAATAAAATTTTAGCCTATATAGAACGGACTAAAATGTGCTTGCATTAGATTTGTGTGTGAAACTTTTAATTTGCCATAAACAGTTATTTATTTTCTTACATTAAATTTTTGCGAATTCATCCAATAGTTGCTGTTGAAAACTGCTTTGAATCAAATATTTTTTGTTGTGTAAACAAAACACAAAAAACGGAGCACTGTAAGCGCCTTTAGCACTTCTAGCCGCCATGTCAGTTAGTGAAACGCGTCGGTAATTAAAGTGTGATAAACGTGATCCATGTCGTGAATGTCGCTGTCGTCGGTGAAAAATTCGTACAAAAACAACAAAACTGACAATTTGTGGTGCAGCGCTTTGCGTGAAACTCAAATTTTACAATAAATATAATTTGTTTACGCATTTTTTGTAGCAAAAAAAAAAAAAAACAAATAACAAAACAAAACACAACCAATTATTTACAAACAAAATAAGAACAAATTAAGAAGTAGCAGTATAGAATTGTTAGAGGACGCAAGAAAATTCCTACAAAGTTATAGTCTTGCAAGGAGAGCGTACGATGTCGATGAAGCTGTGATATTTGTGAGCATATACACGCTAACAACAACTACTACTAAGACAAGACGTAGCAAAAATGCTACTGATGTACTAAAGGTATTTTCTAAAAGCAAGCAAGTAAACAACAACAACAAGGGAAGGCGTTAAAAATTTTACCTACAACACAAAAGCAACTTAACTTTTCCACGGAAACTTTGTATACGAGCAACTGCAACAAAAACAACGAGTGTTAAACAGAAAAAAATTAAAAATAAAGAAAAACAAAGGCGGTATTGACAAGCCAGCAAAGAAAGCAACAACAAAAATGTATTTATGACAGCTGCAACAATATATGCAAATAACACAAGAACAACTACAACAACAATAAGCGGGCAAAAAGGTACGCAAGAGATTTGCGCTGAAGTCAAATGTCAAGCCGCTGAGCAACAAAGCAAACCAACAACAACAACCAATCCCGAAGCAATCAAGTATACTAAAACGCAAAATTATATACGAGCACTAAGCGCTAAACCAACAAAACTAAATATTAATTAATAAAACTAAATTTAAAGGCATATATATTGCAAATACAAAACAATATACAAGCATTGTATACGATTTTAAAGCAAATTTATTTAATTATAAACAACAACAGCATAAGAGCAAAAGAACAAACTCCGTAAGCAGAAGCAAAGTTAGCAAAATAGCAAAACCAAAATAAAAATAAAAAAATAAACAGTTATACACAACAATCAACTGCAATAAATGTATAAAAAATATAGAAAAGAGCGCAAAGCATATTTAAAATATAAATATTAAAGAATAAAAATAAAAATATTTTACTTGCAACAAAAATATAGTATACGTACGTTCCGTCGCGTTTTATCGTCGCGTGTGTCGTTCGAGTTATTTCCTACCACCCACAAAACAAATAAATTGCAAACAAATGTGCCTGTGTTGAAGTAAAATTGAAAAATAATCAGATTTACAAAAAAAAAAAAAACAGCAGTGTGCACCAAAAATTTTGCATGAAGCTCTTGCAAATTTAGTTGGAGTGTTGTGTGCAGTTTTGCAAAAATAAAAATAAAAACTCAAACAAGTCAAAATAACAAAATACAATTTTCATAAACTACAGTTAGCAGCGCCAATTAGTGGACTTGCGAGTCGGCCAACAAGCAAAGCCCGCAATAACAACTACACAGAAAGTGAAAGAACTCGGCAAACGTTGCATAGCGCGTGCTGCTTGCAAAAGTGGCACTGGTCGGGCTGGACATCGCTCCCAGAGCATTAATGGCTCAACCTAGGGTAAGTACCAATGCAATAGTGTTAATTATAGTTTTGAATACTTAAAATACTATGATTTATGCAAAAGTGAATTGTAGTTTAAGATCTCCGTGCAGTTTTTTTTTTTTGTGATTTGTCCTTCCCACATAGCGACGGTAATTTTGTCTGGTGTTAAATTTTAACGAATTCACCATGATTCGTTTAGTTGTGGCCATATTTTTTTGCAGAGAATGCGCAAAATATATTTTTTTCACTATTTCGCAAGTTCTATATTTCGTTAAAAATAGTAATAAAAATCCAAAAATAATCGATAATAACACAAAAGCACTAAATTTGTATTTTAAATACATAAACAATATTTTTACGAAATTCTCGCGGTTAAAATGTGTAAAAATTTTTTGAATTTTCTTTATTACAGTTAGGTGATTTTTAAAGTGAGTTTCTGTAAAATGTGCAAAATGGCGGCGCGTGTACTAATTATTCTCTAGCAGATTAAAAATTGCGCTTTAAATGTGAATAGTTAATACACAAAATTTTGAAAATGCGTTTAAATACTAAATGGCATCAATAAAAAATAATTCAATGCTTTCATAAATTTTCCAAAATAGTTTACATAAATTTTTGTACTCCAAATTTCTGCAAATTTAGTGGACTAGTTTACTAAAATTTGTATACCAAAAATGTTTAACAGTTCAACCGTCCGTCCGTCCGTCCATAGCTATGCATGTAAACAGTGATTTGCACTCCTTCCAAAACTATGCTATAAAATATCTTATTTAACGCAAATTTGTGTGGTACAAAAAATATTAACGTCATCATTTTCATCACATTAGCCGAAATTTTCGATTGTTAAAAAAATTATTAATAAAAAAAAACAATTAAATGCTTTGCTAATATTTACACAGCGCTGTTAAGTGATTGAGTGAGTGGATTTAAATGGCTTCATACTTTGGCAAACACTTTATTTTCACCCACTTGTATATGTGTACATGTGTGTGTAACTGTGAACTTATTAGTTTTACTTAAGCAAAAGATAGTGGCAAAACTTTTTGGGCGCCTAAAATCTTGCCTTGCATTTTCCCACCTTCGCACGTACATATGTACATATATGTATGTGTATTGCTCCTGATCACGCTGTCTGTCTGACCGGGGCACCGCGCCTAGCTTATCATCTGCCTTAGCTTGCTAATTCCACTTACTTTAGCTGCTCGAGGCTTGACAGTTGATAATGCGCGCATTGACAGTTGCCATGTTGAGGTGTTGAAGAAATTTCGCACCGCTGTCTGCACTATCTAATACTTATATACTATACAGTGTTATTAAATAAGTTAAATTTAGAAATAAGAAAACAAAAAGCGCTGTTAGTCACAGTTGATGTGAAAATTTCATGGTTTACTTTCCTTGCTAATTAAAATTTTTGTTCATTAAAAAATCTTGAGAAATATGCTAGGATTTCTTGCAGCATATTAAATGCGGCTTGTAGATTTTCTCTCATTTTTTTTATGTTTCTATAAATAATATTTTGGTAGAAAAATATTATAAAGTAGGTAGAAAAAATATTGTTACAAAAAATTTATTAAAAAATATTAAATTATTTTAAATTTCTAAAAAGGCGATTTTCCACAAAAATAAGACATATTTTAGCTTTTTTGAGCAAATATAGTATTTAAAGAAAAATTAAATATGCTGATGGAAGTAGCTATATTTGTGCTTTGAGTTTTTCCTTACATAATTTTATTTGCTTAAATCTCAACTTTCTGCTATTATTTGATTACATTTTTTAACTTCCACAAAAAGATTTACAAACTTCCTCCATTTAATTATGCGATTAAAAGTGTTGTACAACAAAGTCAAAGTTGATGCAAATTAACATTAAAATACTGATAATAAATTAGCAGTGATGTGTAAAATGGCGGCGGTATATTTGTGTACCCTTCACTGCCTTGTCGCACAGCTGTTGTCAGTATGCAAAATAATTTCTTTTTGTTTGCCCGTATGTCTGTCCGCGTTGCAGCAAAACGTGATCGCAAAATTTTCCAATAACTTTTTGAAATGTGAACTAATAAATTTTCGTACGAAATCCAGCATATAAGCGTCAAATAAATTTGCATATGCAGTTAGGAAAAAAACTATATGTGGCGCATAAACTGAAAAGCACTTGTTTCTTGTTTCCATCACAGTCTTTTCATATTCAAATTTTCATCGTTTTTCAGCTTTTTAGTGCATTTTCTTAAATTCATGTATTTATTAAATTTTTTTTGTTGTCTTATTAGCGCCTAGCTGCTAAAGTGCCACATTGTACTTGTGCTAGTATGTAGTTGTTTGCTTAAGAAATTAGCGCGTTTTCCACACAAAAACTCTACAAAAATGTTAGAAAAATCGAAAAAAAGAAATGGTTCTCTTCTTTGCTGGCATGCTCAATGCGGAGTAACAATGTGCTTGTTAATTTTATGTGGTAACAAAATATGCGATTTGATATGCTTTAAATCGGTACTCATTAGCGGTAGTTATTGTAGGCAATGCAGCTCCCCCCACACAACTAACAACGATGTATTCATTAGCAACATCTGAATTGGTTCTGAAGCGGATCAGATTTTTATTACTATATACTTTTTTTTGCGGTTTATCGTTGTGCGTTCAAAAATTTTCTTTGTAATTATTATTTGTGTTTGAAAAAAAAGTATTCAGCAAAGAAATTGTGTGAAATAAATAAAGCACTCGGAATTTGCAACAACTTCTTAATATTAAAATTGTGCTTTAATTTAAATGTGCGAAAATCAAAATCAAGTGATCATATTTATTTTTCACAATACGTCAGGCAGCATTTGACGTCTAGCCAATTTGCTGTTTTATATTTTTTTCCATAACTAAACCAGTTCCTGTTAAAGAGTGAAGATATTTGTTATTGTAGTTATTGTATAGCAAGAAAAACCGTTAATTTCGATACCCGGTGCAAATAAAAAATCTGTGCATACAAGGACTTAATTTTCGGTTTATATGGCAGCTATATGCAATAACAATCCGATCTGAAAAATTTCTTTGGAGATTATAGTGTTGTCTACAAAAATATTCTATGCCAACTTTTGTGAAAATATCTGCTCAAACAAAAAAGTTTTCCATACAAGAACGTAATTTTGATCGTTCAGTTTGTATCGCAGCTATATGCTATAGTAGTCCGATTTAAAAAATCTGTTCAGAGATTTTCTGCATTGTCTTTAGTAATAGCCTATGTCAAAAGTCGTGAAGATATTTTGACAAATAAAAAAGATTTTCATACAAGTACGTGATTTGGTCATTCACTTTGTATGACAGCTCTATGTTATAGTGGTCCGATATCCGCGATTACGACAAATGCGCAGCTGCTTGAGAAAAAAAGGATGTCAGCAAAATTTCAGATCGGTATTTCAAAAACTGAGAGACTATTTGGTGTCTATACAGACAGACAGACACATATATACAAATCGACTCAGTTGATCGGTTATATATCTGTTTAATAGCATCTCCGTTTCTCGACAGTGTAATCAAAAACGATTTGTGAAAAATTCGAATGTTTGTATGCCACATTTATGTAGGAACTCATATAAATTTACTTACTATTTTTTATTAAAATATAATTTAAAAAATATTAAAATGCTATATATTTTTTAAAACTCATAAAAATTTGAATATATAAGTTATAAATACTAAAGAAACCAAAATAGTTACTTTAATTTTGTTTTGTAAAACCGTTGCAAGTTCACTAGCAATATTCGCTCACAAATATATTTTATATATGATTTCACAGAAAATTTTTTTTATAAATAGCCTTAATAATAATTAATAAAAGTTTGAAATTTTTAAATATTTTCCTTAAAGTTGTATATAAGAAATTTGGCACGAATTTATATATTTTTTCACTAGGAAATATTATTCTAAATAACATTAATTTTAATGCATAAAAATTAGAAATTTTCAAAATTTTCTGCGCAAAATTTAAACAAGTTGTTGTCATCTGCTTGTTATTCTACATATTTGCATTATCGAAGACAATATTCGCAATTTTCCAGTAATAATATTTTTTAACTGCAATTTAACGGTTTATATTAAAATGTGCATATTTTATGAGTACCTTATACAGATATATATATACAGCGCAACCACTTTGATTTGACAAAATAATTTTAATGTGCCACAAGCAAGCATCAAACAGCGCAGTGTTGCAAGTGACATTTATGCATATGTTTGTACTTCATCCACTTACACAGCGCACATACTCGTACAATCCGATCAATGTGGCATTTTTATAGTTATCATTTCCATTTCACGCGTCAAACAAATAAATTTACGTTTGTGGTTTAATTTTCGATTTTACACCCATGAAAATTGTGCGGCTTGCCGATTAACTGCTGCAGCCAGTCAACAGCAATGGGTATGTGCGAATTGCAACAGCAGCAATTAAAAGTGACAATCCTAGCGGCGGCAGCGGCAGCGGCAGCGGCGACTATACCGCAGTTGTACTTTTTATTGTTGTACGGAGCTGCCATTTTTGCGCGCATTTGCCATTTTGCGGCGCGCTGGCAAATAACTGAGCGCTCGCATATCAGCGCCGCGACTCACCTATACGGGCGCACAGCGCGCTCACACCGTGTGGCAGGAAAATTTTATTGCATTTTTGTCGTCAAACTCATGTGTGTGTGCGTTGCGTATACCTTGCCAGTATTCAATGTTGCTCAATGTTACAGCGACATTTGTTGCGGTTTTATTATTTACATACGCTCCGCGCTTTTTTCACAACAATTTTGTGTTGTTGCTGCGGCATTTTTCCGTTTTTACTCACACACACACACACACCTTTCAATTGCATTTTACTATAATATTTATTGTTGTTGTTAATTTTGCGCTATTCTGCGGTATAAAATTGCAACAATAAAATTGGTTGGTGGAAAACTCAGAAAAAAAACCAAAAAAAAAAATATACATAAATGCAACAAAAAGTCAGCTATCCAGCGAGCAAGCCACGCTGACCGCTCATGAAATTATAC